AAGTAGTATGTGCAGTTTCAGGCATCCACTAGGCATCTTGGAATGGGATAAGGAGGGTTTACAATAGTGAAATTTTCTTGGTAGGGTCCCAGGCCAGCACGAGGGCATGGGCCTAGGACTCATGCATGTGCTTGGGTTCTGTGTCGGTAGAGGGGTAGGGGCCTGGCTGGGCTGGGCTGGCCTAAGTTTATAGCATCCACTGGCAGCTATGAGAACCAGGATGGGGTGAAGATAGGTTGGGTTGGCCCTCATCATCGGCCAGCTCACAATTAGGGCCAGGACTGGGGCAGACTGGGTCATGCCAGCTGCAGTATTCACTGACAAATGCCAGTGTGAGGTGGGTCATGCCAAACTGGGCCATGGCACCCACCAGCACATGTAAGGCATTGAAAGAGGGGAGCAGACCCGGGCCATGGCTTCCACTGATGAGCATGAGCGCTTGGATAGGGGAGGACCAGGTAGGGCAAGATTACAAAACCCACTGGCCTGCATGTGAGCTGGATTAAGGGAGAGTCAGGTCATATCCACTGGTGCATACATGAACCAGAGTAAGTGCAGGCAAGTCAGGCTTTGCTATAACATCATTAGCTGGCAGATGTTGGACTGACAGCAAGTCCTGTCAGGCTAGACCACAGAACCACCTGGAAAGTGCAAAATCTGGGGCTGGGAGTAGGTCTAGTTTAGAAACCCTGGGCACCTCTCTGATGGACTTCAATTCCCATTGGTGAATATGAAAACCAGGGCTGGGGGTGGGCCTGGTTAAACAGGCTGTAGCACCTGCCAGCTTAAGTGTGGGCTGGATTGCAGGGTTGGTTGGGCTGAGGTAGGCTGCAGCACTCATTGATGTTCACAAGAGCCAAATGGGATATGAAAAAGACCAGACCAGTCTGTTGCACATACTGGCATGTACAGGAACCAGGGCTCTTGGCAGGCCTTGTGGAGGTTACTGGGGGTTTGCTCTGACTAGGCTGAAGTTCTTGGTGTTGTGCATGGGTGCTAAGTGTGTCAAGGGCAGGGTTGAGCTGGGCCACAGCATCCATTTGTTTGCATACAAGAGATACAAGACGGGGCTAGGAACAGAACTGACTGGGCAACTGCAACCACCGATGTGTGTGTAGGCTGATGTGAGTGATGGACTGAGCCAGACCCTACACTGCTGTCACACACAGGAGTCAGATCTAGGGTCACCTATGGTGAGGTTTCTTTGGGGATCCCACCAACTGGACCACTGGACTCAAAATTCCAACCATAGGGGAAATCATAGATCTGCTGTCTGACTGTTGGTTGCATGTCTCAGAACTGGGCCTCCTCAGATGCTGAAGCCTGTGGAGTAGACAGTATGCCCAGATACACATAGGGGACATGACAGTTCATTGAGGCCTGCAGAGGACTTCCGCTACTATGGCAGATGATGGAGGGCATAACACTGGACAACTCTCCTGGCCAAGTGTTGACAGCCAGTATCTGAGCAAGTACAGGCTAAGGTGGACTATGTCAGCCATCGACTTTGGAAAGATTTCCTCAACATTGGAGCAATTAAGTCAACGGTACATAAGAACTATCAAAAGCACTTAAGCTGAACCCCTGGAACGTGTTCCACACTGGGGACTCTAGGATGACACTGGATGCCTGGGTACTGATGTGGTTAGGCTGGTGGGAGCAACCGTCTCCCCTTCTCGCCCGCCTACCCCTAAAAACAGGAAGAAAAAAAATGGAAGCAATTGTCTCATCCACCTTCCCCCATTCCTCAGTCCTTCCCAGTCCTAATCAGTGGTCCACATGGACATATATCCTTCTTAACTATATAAACATAATCAAAAATAAAATAAATTTATTTAAAAAGAAGGCTGTAGCAATAGAAAAGTATGGAACTCTTTGTAAACCCCTAGACATTATGACCTACCCACAGAAATTCCCTGAACCCACACTGCATGCTCATTGTCAGTCAACAGATTCTTCCTCCCTGCTTTCACGTTTGAAATGCCAGACCCTCTGAAATCCTCCAGCTTCATTACAGTGTCACGCAGTCGCCAATTGGATGGTGTTTCAAAAACTTCTCATTGCCAAAGTCCCAAGTTTATACCTGATCAACTTTGCGCTGGCTTCTGTGAAGAAGCCAATCGGTCCAGAGACATTGTCAAATTTTGATATTTTCTTCCTTCAGCTTGGCATTTGGTCCTGAGGGAAACCAGATTGAAGAATCCAGAAGGGGTTATGAAGCCCATCATCATTAGGAAGGACAACCTGCAGGGCAGGGTCTACCGGTCACTTCCAATTAGTCTCATTGTCAAAAAACAGATACTTACACATAGCTTGGTGGAAAGCTCAGACTCTGAATGACTTCTGGCAGTTAGGAAAGGTGTGTGTGGAAAGCAAGAATGAGCAGTAAGACCATGTGTGAGTGGCTCACCTGCCAGCAGAACTGTTTTACATGTAAATGAGGGAGTGTGGAAATTTACTCTTAATTTTTTGAAGATATATTTTATTTTTATTGGAAAGGCAGATTTACAGAGAGAAGGAGTGACAGAGAGAGATCTTCCATCTGCTGGTTCATTTCCCAAATGTCCACAACAGCTGGGACATGATTTGGCAGCCCTTATGGTATGCCGGCGCTACGGGAAGAAGCTTAGCCTACTAAACCACAGTGCCAGACCCAGGGTGGAATTTTAGAGATCGAAAACTTAGGAGTCATCAAATATATCATTTTGGGGGCCCAACGGCGGCATGGCCTAGCGGCTAAAGTCCTTGCCTTGAATGCACTGGGATCCCATATGGGCGCTGGTTCTAATCCCAGCAGTCCCACTTCCCATCCAGCTCCCTGCTTGTGGCCTGGTAAAGCAGTCGAGGATGGCCCAAAGCTTTGGGACCCTGCACCTGTGTGGGATACCTGGAAGAAGTTCCTGGCTCCTGGCTTCGAATAGGCATAGCATTGGGGAGTTGCGCTCACTTGGGGAGTGAATCAATGGATGGAAGATGTTCCTCTCTGTCTCTCCTCCTCTCTGTATACCTGACTTTCCAATAAATAAATAAATCTTAAAAAAAAAAAAGAAAAGAAATTTCAGGGTTGGACCCTCCATATATCAGACACATGTCAGGAGCGGAGAACCCCCTGAACAAGGTCTTTTTGCCATCAGAGCTTACGGTAGAGCAGGGAAGATATGACATTTAAAGTGCACTGGATGTTGGAATTGAGGAAATGCAGGACTCATTGGGAACAATTCAAGCTTGTTCCCTGCCATAATTGATGCATTTCTGAACTGCCTTTGGTCATAAGGTGTGCAGTTTATTTGAAAGGCGGAGAGACAGAGAGAAAGAGGAAGACAGATATTGCTTCCACTAACTCATTCTCAAAATGGCCAGAACTGTAAGGAGTTATTCGAATATCCCACCCTGGACCTGGCGCCAATTCCTCTTCCTCACAGCTCACGAAACTCGCGCCAGTCTAGCCATCTACCAATCAGATATAATCTGGCATTCCACCTGAGAATCCCACCCCCCAATCTTCCAGCCCCTTCCCCAACCCTGCCCACTCACCAATCATCCCTAGGTATTCACCTGCAGGCACCAATCCCCTGGAGCCTGTCCTCAATCCCTCCCAATCCCCGCCCCCCCCAAACACCTTGCCCACAAAAAGGCCCCCAGGTGCGGCTCTTTTCCTTCTCTTCTCCCTCTCTTCTCCTTCTGGCCTCCCTTCCCCCCTTCCTCTTTCCCTTTTTTCCTCTCCACCACCTCCACCCTGTTCCTGCCCCGCCGGAATAAACCTCCTAAGATACCTCGTTGGTCTGGTGAACTAGAACTCGAACTGTTTTAAATAACAAGAACAACCAGACCTGGGCTAGGCTGATGCCAGGAGCCAAGAACTCCATCCGGATCTTGCCACATACATATGTGGTAGGAGCCCAATTGTTTGCTGCCTTTCCAGGCACATCAACATGAAACTGGATCCAAATTAGATCAAGCCTGCCTGGGCCCCCACGTAGGACGCCCAGGGCACGCTGCACAGCAACCATAATGCCTCACCTGGGATGTTTCCTCACATCATTTGTGTCATGCAAACGCAAATTTGCTTAAAACCACACATATTTGCTGAGCACCCACTGCTATGCCAAAGAACAAGAGTAACCTGCAACAGAATTCTAAAAGAAATTACTCATGTAAAAATAATCTTTTATGAGAACAAAATTATTCTGGAATATCTGTGTCCGAAGCAACACAAATGTGATGCCACTCGACAGTCAAGGAAATCCGAAAAATAATTTGATAGATCTTGGCCGCTGGAATTTTACCGTATTTTAGCAGGTTTTTTGAGTCAGTCTGGGGCCTCCCACTCCTCCACATTCATGTTAAAGGGCCAGCTCAGGGGCTGCGCTCTAAGCCCCTCCTCTGCTCAGGGATTCTCTGCCTTTTAGCATATAGTATTTCCCATACTGACTGTAAGCTCTTTCCTCACCTGGGTAGACGAGTACGGAAAAAGCTAGGAACCGCTCTTCCCCTATGATCTCTATTTATTTATCCTGGAAAACAGAGATCCACTCCTCCGCACGGGGCATTGTCTGAAGAACCTCGGACCCCCATTTCCCTCCCACTTTGAGCCATCTGGTTTATTCCATGGGTGGAGAAGGAGGCCAGGTTGGATGGGTGGGAAGAGAATGGCGTCAGTGTGAGGTCACGCTACATTGTCCCCAGTGCCATCTGCACACCGCCACGACGTGAATGCAAATGCAGACCGGAGGCAGGTCGCTGCAGGTGAAGGTCGAGGCCCCAAGCCAAGGCCTCTTCGGGGCCGAGGCGCGCCCAGAGAGAACAAAGCAACAGGGAAGCTGGCGGGGAGGCGAACGACACCTGCGCGCCCGCCCGGAGCGCCTGCTGAGAGAAGCGCAGAGAGGGCGCCAGGCCGAGGCCCGGCGGGATGGGGCGGGACTTCCGGAAGCCATTTGCCTGAGTGGCAGGGAACCGGAAGTGGAGGCGCTGCTCCTGCCGCCGCCGCTGCTGCTGAGGCTGGGGCCCGAGGAGGGACGCGCCGGAGCGGGGCCGCGGGGACCTGAGGGAGCGCCAGCCGCGCCAGCCGCCGACGCCGCAGCCGCCTGGGGCCCGCACGGACCCTCCGCCGGGAGTGAGTGCATCGGGGATCGCGCCTTGGAGGGGTCGGGTGGGGAGTTGGCAGGGGCCGCGCGGGGTTATTGTGAGCCGCCCGCGGCCGCCCCTCCCCCGGGGGCCTCGCGCGCGCGCAGGCCCGGCCTGGGGCCCCGAGACCCTTCCTTCCAGCACCCCATCCCCCAGACCCGGCGGCTCTCCCCAAACCGCCCCCGGATTAGGCCTCGCCGTCTCTCTGCACCCCCGGTTCCCTCGAGCCGATTGTCCGCTCCCGCCGGCACGTTGACGGAGCAGCTCGGCCCTGCCTGCAAGCCTCCGCCGCGGCCTTTTCCCCTCCCTGCCCGAGCTCCAACCGCTCACCCCTCTCGTTCTCGCCGGGCGTCCTGTCGCAGTTACCCCGTCACTTATTAATTTATTATTTTCCCGAGCTCTTCTTTCCCTGTTCTTTTCAACTCTGGAGAAACTTCTCCATTGCCTCGGGTTAGGGATTCCCGAAGGTGCACGGTGTTGATAAGAAAGGAGGTTAACTTCCTGGTCGGCTGACGGGGCTGCATCTCCTTTTTAAAGGCTGCTCGTTCGTCCAAGGTCGGGCCGCTGAGTTGCACCTGTCAGTGGGCAGGGGCTGTGGGGGCGCTTTGCTCCAGGTGCACGTGCGCCTTGCCCAGCAGGTCTTCCTGGGGCACACGATTGGACGGTGACTCATTCTGCTTTCCATAGCTCCCAGGCCAGCATTACTTTTCATGATGGATATTCAGGCCCTAAAGAAAGGTTTGGCTTTTTAAAGCTTTGGCCTGTTTGTGGAGTTTCCCCAAGGAGGAAGGGGAAAAAAAGACAAGTCACCCATAGAACCTCATTTGACACACCATTAAATGGGAGGTGGAGAGTGATGGAGCCAGAGAAAGAAGGAGGAAGGGGATTGCCTCCTCCGGGGCACATTGTTCTGGCATAAAGGTTGCCTCCTTGTGGGGGAACTGGGGAGGAGTAGCAATCACTGAGCGTTAATTTGTTGGCTTGGGCGTTTGATAATAAATTATGGATGTCTGTAATCCGGCCCCACCCACCAGTGCGCTGAGGCGGGGTGGGGGGGGTGAGCCCTTTCAGAAGAGTCCCGCGTTAGGGCTGGAGGCCTGCTCTTCAACTCTCCCGTTCTGCCTTCTTGTTGAAGAAACACCCAACTCAGCTCCACAAATTCCTTGCTGTTGGTACTAGTTTTTGATTCAGTGCTACGCACTGCACTGCTGCAAATTCAGTTCTTGTATTGTCATGGTCCTTGTTAAGTGGAGAAGATAAATGAATAAGAATTGTGCAAATTCCTCCTCATCTAACCAGACAGCTCCATTAATAGGCAGTTAAAACTGCCCTGGCTCTAGTTTCTTGGGGTAAATTAACAAAAATTTGTTTCCGCAGTCTTTATTTCTTTCTCTGTTTTATTTATTTATTTAAAAGCAGATTTTCCCAGAGAGAGAGAGAGGTCTTCAATGCACTGTTTCATCTTCAAATAGCCACAGTGGCTGGAGTTGAGCTATTCTGAAACCAGGAGCCAGATGCGTGGTCCCAAGGCTTTGGGCCATCCTCTACCACTTTCCCAGGCCCCCCAGATGGAAAGTGAAATAACTGGACATGAATTGACACCCATTGGGCACGTAGTGCTTGAACCTTGCGGATTAGCTAATTGAGCCATTGCACTGGTTCTTTTTAAAATTCTTGATTAGGATTCATTGAACACATTGAAGATGTGTTGTTTTAGACTTACCCCCTGCATGGAGCAGAAAACCAAAAATCACTCATTTTTGTGACTATCACAGGCATCTCTGAAGCTAGTCCCGGACCCTTTGTTTATTTTCATGGAAAAAATACGATTTGCAGCCAGTTTTGTGGCATAGTTGGCTAAGCCAACGTCTTTGACACTGGTATCCCATATGAGTGCCCGTTTTGAGTCCTGGCTGCTCTGCCTCTGAGCCTGCCCCCTGTTCATGTGCTGGGGAAAACAGCAGATGCTAGCCCACGCATTTAACCCCTGTCATCCATGGAGTTCCTGGCTTCCAGCTTTGACCTGGCCCAGCACTGGCCATTGGGGAGTGAACCAGTGGATAATACAAGATCTCTCTCCTCTGTAACTACTTTCCAATTTAAATAAATAAATGTTTAAATTAAAAAAAAATACAACAGTTTGTTTTTTCTAACTCCTAAATTAATCGAATCCTCTAGATGCATACTCCCTTAATTTGTGCATATGCTAGTATAGTTCTGGAAGGCAAGACAAAGTGGGTTTTTGACTCAGTTCTGTTTTCCTGGTGTTTAAAAATGTTACCAGATCACAGACGTCAGTACAACTGAAAGCTACTTTGTATTGTAAGATTTTGACTTAGCCAAATAATACAAAATTCAAGTGTCTGAAGGCACAAAGAAGCTAATTTTTACTCGGAATCTATGCTTTTGTAGAGGGAGATGGCCTTGTTTTTGTAGTTAAAAGGAGGGAAAAAAGACTACTTATCTGAAGTGTTTTGTGATATTTTCCTAGTTCCACCTGTCTTGTAGTATTAGATAAAGAATATTTTATTCCTTAGTTTCTCTATCCCTATGCCCTTATTTTGCCAATGAAGAAATTTAGGATTGAGGTAGAAGTGCCTTGCTTGGAATATCACAATGTTGTTGAGTTTGGTTAGCACTAGTAGAAAATATGGGTGAAAAAACTTACTAGGTTAGAATTGACACTGTTTCCTTGAGTTCTTTTATCTATAGAACCTAGCATCTTTTGCAGTAGGCTTTGGAGATTTAGCTTGAGCTCCCCACAATCTGAAATTGAAACTTAACTAAATGCCAGCATGATGCTCCTGAACAGATGTGTTAAGAGTTGTGTGTGTAAGCTGTATATGGAGACTTGGGTCCCACCCCCAAAATATCTGAAGTACAGATGTTCCAAGATCTGAAAAAATCTACAGTTAGCCACACTTCAAATCTCAAGCGTTTTGGATAAGTGATCCTCAGCCCAGCAAGGGGTCAGCTCTCCTGCTGATTCTTTAGGTTTCCTGGATCGATCGAGGATTTATTTAAAAAGGTAGTTACAGAGAGAAAGAGAGATTTTCATCTACTGGTTTATTCCTCCAAACTGCTGCAAATAGGGAGGGCCTCGAACCAGGTCAGAATCAGGAATTCCATGCAGGTAGGTGACAGGGGCCCAAGCATTGGGCCGCCTTCCTGTTCTTTCCCAGGTGTGTTAACAGGGAGCATAGTGGGAGGTGCAGCAACCAGGATCTGAACAACTACCCATTTGAGTGTTGCAGCCTGTTGCCTGACATTACACCATACTAGCCCCATCCATTTTTTTCTTTTTTTTAATTGGAAAGTCAGATTTGAAAGAGGTAAAGAGATACAGGGAAAGATCTTTCATCTACAGGTTCACGCCCCAAATGGTCACAGTGGCTGGAGTTGAGTTGATCCAGAGCCAGGAGCCTCCTCATGGTCTCCCATGTGGATGCAGGGTCCAAAGGCTTTGGTCTGTCCTTGCTGCTTTCCCAGACTATGAGCAGGGAGCTGGATGGGAAGTGAAGCAGGATATGAACACTCCCATATGGAAAGGCGGCACAAACAAGACTACGATTTAGCTACGGGGCCATATGCTGGGCCGTCACAATTACTGATCTTAAAAACAGCGTGTAGATAACCCCCAGCAGTAATAAAATGATCCATTGGAATGCAAGTGAAATCAAGAACTTTTTAAAAATTTATTTATTTATTTTTTAAAGATTTATTTTTATTATTTTTTTATTGGAAAGGCGGATATACAGAGAGGAGAGACAGAGAGGAAGATCTTCCGTCCAATGATTCACTCCCCAAGTGAGCGCAACAGCCGATGCTATGCTGATCCGAAGCCAGGAGCCTCTTCCGTGTCTCCCACGCGGGTGCAGGGTCCCAAAGCTTTGGCTGTCCTCGACTGCTTTCCCGGGCCACAGGCAGGGAGCTGGAAGGGAAGCGGGGCTGCCGGGATCCCAGGCGTGCAAGGCAAGGACCTTAACCACTGCACCACCGCGCCGGGCCCAAAAAATTTATTTTTAATATAACAAGGTTAAACATCTTTATTGGCCTTTTATTATAATGAATCTGTTGACGGGCCTGGCACGAGAGCCTTTAAGGCACCAGCATCCCATATGGGCTCCAGTTCTAATCCCAGCAGTCCCACTTCCCATCCATCTTCCTGCTTTGGCCTGGGAAAGTAGTCGAGGACGACCCAAAACTTTGGAACCCTGTACCCACGTGGAAGACCCAGAAGAGATCCTGGCTCCTGGCTTCGAATTGGCTCAGCTCTGGCCGTTGCAGTCACTTTGGGAGTGAATCAATAGACAGAGTATCTTCCTTTCTGTTTCTCCGTTTCTCTGTATATCTGCCTTTTCAATAAAAATAAATCTTTAAAAAAATTTTAAATAAATCTGTCGAGGCTGGCACGGTAGTGGCTTAAGTACTTGCCTCGCTTGCCCGGGATTCCATATACGCACCAGTTCTAATTCTAGCAGCACGCTTTCCATCCCGGTGGCCTGGGAAAGCAGTTGAGGACAGCCCAAAGCCTTGGGACCCTGCGCTTGTGTGGGAGACCAGGAAAAGCTTGTGGCTTCAGATCAGCCCAGCTCAGCTCCAGCATTTGTAGCCACTTGGGAATGAACCATTGGATAGAAGATCTTCCTCTCTATCTCTCCTCCTCTCTGTATATCTGCCTTTCCAATAAAAATAAATAAATCTTTAACAGATAAACAATAATTCACATGTTTTTGTACAAATTGGGAGCAATTCACAGGTTTTAAAGCATTTGAAAGTATTTAGACCACACTAATCTGAACCAGCCTGCAATCATATACTTTAGTTTTTTTTCTGTTTATTTTCCTGTTAGGTGGTCATGTACCCTCTCTTTGTATCCCCATTAATAGCAATTACCTGGGCCTGGTGCAGTAGCCTAGTAGCTTAAGTCCTCACCTTGCACTTGCCAGGATCCCATATGGGCACCAGTTCTAATCCCAGTAGCTCCAC